ATCGCTAGCAGGTTGGAGGCCATCGCTCTTAGGTTGGAGGCCATTGCCAGCAGGTTGGAGGCCATCGCTAGCAGGTTGGAGGCCATCGCTAGTCGGTTTGAGGCCATTGCTAGTAGGTTGGAGGCCATCGCTCTTAGGTTGGAGGCCATTGCTAGTGGGTTGGAGGGGGGCAGAGCGGCCTTAAACAAAGTCTTTTTTATTCTCAGCTTTGTAGAGGATCCGTCCTTGTGCCAGGCAGTGAAGCAGCTCTCGCAGAAACAATTGCTTCTTGACGTGGAAAACAGCAGTGTTGCTTACTCATGACTTCGCCTTTTTCACTTAAAGATTGCTTTCACATTTCCCTCTCTGGGGTCTTCCCTTAAGGTCACGATTCTTGACACATCTTTGATGGGAAGCAACCAACGGAAAAGTGTTTGCTGTTTTTGTTTGTTTTCAATCGGAATGCAACACTTTGAATTTCTCTCAGTGTTTGCGGTGCTAGCTGCATCGCTAACATGTGAGGCTCGCGTTGCTGTTGCCACATTTGCAGACACGCGCCGAAGAGCGAGGCTTCCTAGAGGCGACGGCAAAAATCTGGGGAAGGTAGAGGTGGCAGGTGGGAGCTACTTTTTCCTGCTTTTGTTAGATTTCTTAAATTTCAAATTGTGTTCAGTGTGCTGGATTCTGCAGGAGGCACAGGAGATCCTTGCTATGGCAGGGCAAAGTGAGGAGCCAACAGCCATCTCCAATACCTTGCAGCCACCTTGCAGCAGGGCGGTGGGCAAGGTATGTGTTGTTGACCACTTCAGAGGGGTGGCTTTTTGGTTCAAAAGGTGCAGAGACTGAAGGCACCAAGTTGGTTTGCCTTTCTTCGCTAAGGCGGAAGCTGCACAAGGCAGGGATGGTTGGGTGGTTTTGTTTTGTGGCATATGCACCACAGGTCTCAAAGGAGCCCGATCAACGAGCTTTTCCGGGCGATGTCGTCCGCTTTGTGTTGCTGTGTGTCAGTCAAGAGAATTAAGGCAAGTCGCTACCTCAACAAGTCGGCATGTAAGGGCATCGCTACTAGGAGCAAGGACGCTACTAGGGGCTCCTGGCATCGCTATTAGGAGCAAAGGGTATCGAATCTTCCCGGTTGCAGTTTTGAAAGGTCTTCAGTCTCGAGGTACGCAGATGCACTCTCTCTCACTCGTGGTAGAATTTTTGCTTCGCCATGCTCAGATGGAAGGTCTTTCGGAAAATGAGCTTCTCCGGCATGTTGGGCCTGATTCGGCAGTCAATGTCAGAAGGACGGGCAGACAAATCCTTCAAAGACAACGGAACTTGAGAAGTCCTGTGAAGTTGTGAAGCAAAAGTCCTTCTTTATCTTCTTCTACTCTTTTCATGTTGCGAGGTTGGAGGCCATCGCTAGTAGAAACAAAGAAAACAGATCAAAAAGGGTAGTCGTGGGATTCTCAGACCACTGCCCAACCTCTTGCGACCACCCTCTCTGACCTCGAGGAGAAGCCGAAGAGCTCTCCGCCGCGACCAACCGCCTACGCAGTTGCTTGAGCGCGAAGAGCCTGAGCATGTGGCTGTGAAGGCGACCAACGTCCAAACGAAGCATGCAGCAGACAAGCTGAAAGAGGATGAAACAAGAAACATAGACTTGGAGGAGGGGGGGTCTTGTCACCTGATCTCAGTCATCGGTACCATTCAGTAGAGACAAGCGCTTCAAGAGAAGCCAAAAGAGACGGAGAAACAACAACTTCAACGATTCTATTCTTTACTTTTAGAAGATATTATTACGAATCCCTGAACCTTCCCAGAGGAGGAAAGAGCACAACTACATACAACTCCCCCCAACGCGTTTATTTTTGTTGCGGACTTAAGTGGCCCGTCTACCAACCTTACGCAGCTCAATTGGTAGACAGGGTTGTTTCAACAACACAGGGCGGTAGGCAGCGCAAAAAAAAGTATTGCAATCACTCTTGCGATACGGGCGAGGTCTTGAATGCATGCGCATTCTCGTTGATTGTTGCGAGTGGCAGGTCGACTTTCGCATTCTCATTGTATTTAGGCCAACTTGACACCACTAGCATCCAGCTCGTGATGCTGTTTGACAGTATGTCAGGATTCGCCTTGCCTCGTCCCCATAAAAGTAGACGCCAGAGTGTGAGCTTCGGTTGGTCCAATGAGGTCGGGGGTCGATGGAGAACTCTCTCAAAGACCGAAGGACTAAAGGTGCACGATGGGTTACTTGTAAGATTTGAAACGCCTTTGCGGAGCGCAGCCTGGACGCCAAAGTTTCACTTTGCGCAGAGCACGTCAAAGTGGTTCCGTTTTCACTTTCCATGCAAGTGTAAACTCCGTCTCCGCTTTTCCTCCACGAAGGTTTCTATTTCTCATGTCTTTCTTGAGTACATTGTTATTCGGTGCACCCTCTGACACAAGCAAGTGTGGATATAACGCTAGTATGCAGGCCCTGAGCCTGGTCTCATATCCGTCGGTTGTGTAGGAATGATAACAAAGGCCCCCTAGGCCCTCATGCGCAATTCGATTGTGATCGTCATACTCGGACACACCGACCAGATTTTCAATGCCGGAACAGGAAAATCACAACACACATGGCCTGGAAGAACCACTCAAGAGGGAGACAGGACCTTTCCGAAAGTGGATACCTCCATCCAAGAGTGAAAAGAGGACACTGACAGAACACCATGCAGGACTTAGTGATTCACTTTCTGGTTCATACACTGCATTTGATATAATGATATATTTTTCTTTTCGGTTCGCAAAACGCATTCCACACCCTGGCCAGGTCCCAGGCTCGTTCCAGGCCTGGTTGCAGGACTGATGACTCGACCATCAGACCAGTTTCTGTAAGAGGACTGTTTTGTGGGGTCAGTCTTTGTTCAAAGAACAAGCAAAGAAGAGTCCCTTTAGATTGGAGGCCATCTCTACTAGGTTGGAGGCCATCTCTACTAGGTTGGAGGCCATCCCTAATAGGTTGGAGGCCATCTCTACTAGGGTGGAGGCCATCGCTAGTAGGTTGGAGGCCATCTCTACTAGGTTGGAGGCCATCGCTATTAGGTTGGAAGCCATCTCTACAAGGCTGGAGGCCATCGTTCAATTAGGTAAGAGGCGGTAAGAGGCCATCGCCATCGCTATTCGGGTGGAGGCCATCTCTACTAGGTTGGAGGCCATCTCTACTAGGTTGGAGGTCATCTCTACTAGGTAGGAGGCCATCGCTATTTAGGTTGGAGGCGATCTCTACTAGGGCAGAGGCCATTTCTTTTAGGTTGGGTAAGTGGACTCTTGTTTTGTGGGGTCATTAGAGTCCGTTTAGATTTTGTACGCCCGAAGCTGGGTGTGGAATTGTTTGAGTCTTTGAGGTTTGAAAAAGAGAATGGAAGGGTATGATGCTCAGATACTGGCAAGAAACACTGAAAGGTACCAGAAACGATGCAAACGATGTCAACATGTCATGTGAATCAGTTGATGATGCCATGAATGCCATAACTTTGATGCAGTGTCTCCCTCTTTCCAGATGGCACAGTGTCCTCGGTGACCCAAAGTGACCAAAGTGATGTCCGGGAATGCCTGGAAGTTTGCGAGTGTTCTGTTCTCCCGCGTTCCTTCACAAGTCACAGCATTTGTAGTGTTTGGATGTTTTATGCGGGGGAACCTGTCGAAGCCAAGCAAGAAGACTGACCAGTGAAGGAGAAGGATCAGCTAGAGCTGCATCGAAGCTGGAAAGAGTCATCAATCCAGCTGCTATATAGTTCTTTTGCCAAGTCGAACTACATTCATGAGTAACATAGGCGTAGCAGTGTGGCGTGATGCAGCTTGAAGCCGCTTCTCCTTGATGCGGTCCTTGCTAACAGTCTGCCAACCGCTGTGACTTAGTTGGGTCCGA